CCTGCACACACACACACTTCCTGAACACCGCTGGCCTGCACACACACTCCCACTCCCTGAACACCGCTGGCCTGCACACACACTCCCACTCCCTAAACACTGCTGGCCTGTACACACACACTCCCTGAACACCGCCAGCCTGCACACGCTCAGTGAACACCGCCGGCCTGCACACACTCACACTCACAGACAGACAAAGGCACAGTGTTGGTCAGAGGGAAGTGGAGAGAGAGAACAGCAGCTCGTTACCACAGACATGAACACACCTCCTACCAGCTCCAGCCTCACACAGACTGAACACCCCGCCTGAACACGATCTCAACAGACTGAACACTCTGCCTGAACACACTGCCTGCAGACGGTACCCCACTCCTGAACACACTGCCTACAGACTGAACACCCCGCCCACAGACAGTACTCCCGTCTGAACACGATGCCTACAGACTCTACACCCCACCTGAACACGATCCCTACAGACTGAACACCCCGCCTGAACACGATGCCTACAGACGGTACCCCACTCCTGAACACACTGCCTACAGACTAAACACTCCGCCTACAGACAGTACCCCCATATGAACATGATGCCTACAAACTGAACACCCCACCTGAACACTCCGCAAACAGACAGTAACCCCGCCTGAACACGATGCCTACAGACGGTACCCTCTGCCTGAACACTCCGCCCACAGACAATACCCCCCGCCTGAACATGATCCCAACAGACTGATCACCACGCCTGAACACAATGCCTACAGACGGTAGCCCCCGCCTGAACACAATGCCTACAGACGGTAGCCCCCGCCTGAACACAATGCCCACAGGCTGCGGGACGCTGCCCTCTCTCTCCCGGCTCATTCCCCCACACAGGAAGAGGTAGAGACGGAGAGCAGAGGCGTCCCGGCCGCCGCGACAGACAGTGAGGCCGGTGAGCTAGCTGGCTTTAAACCGAGAATAAAATCGTGACCCGCGGTGCGAGGCCAGAGCGGAGTCGGCTGGTTCCGGTCCGATCCGCACAATAGCCCGGCCGCAGCCGCAAGGATCCGTGGTGTTTTCCCGGACCACACCGCCCCGGGACCGCTTCCCCAGCCGCACCGGCCTCCCGGGACCGGCCAGGCAGTCAGTCCCGTTCGCGAGAGGCCCAGCCGGCCAACCTGTCATGTTCGAAACAGCCCGGTTCGGTCCCACATACACTCTCACTCACCGCCCGCTATCCCAGATCACACCGGAACTTCCGCTTCTGCAGAGAGGGGCGGAGACGGAGGGGGTCACGGAGAGGTCAAGTCACCCCCCCCCTCCGCGCCCCCGCAGCCCTTCCCAGCAGCCCCTTCTCCCAGACATTACCGACGCACAGGCTCGACTAACTATAATAATAATAATAATAATAATGTTTCTATACAATTTCTTGCATTAGGAATTCATCTTTTTTCCATGGAGACACAGTCACCCAGACAGGGAGAGAAGCTTGGGGTCAGAGCACAGGGTCAGCCACTGTACAGCACCCCTGGAGCAGCTGGGGTTAAGGGCCTTGCTCAGGGGCCCAACGGAGTAGGATTACTCTGCCGGCCGCAGGATTTGAACCAGCAACCTTCCAGCCACAGGGGCAGGTCATGAGCCTCAGAGCCACCGCTCCGCCCCATAAAGCACATTGTTCTGTCATACACAGGAGGCTCGACAAATAGTGTCATATAATGATTATAAATACAGGTTCTGAGTAATTTTGTATTATGAGTCTCTTTTTTATTAGTATTAATATTCATCACATCTTACATCATCATCTTACACTTTTCTGGGCACTTCACTCAGCATTTTACAGGTAATGGGGATCCCCTCCACCACCACCAGTGCAACCCCACCTGGAATCTACACATTCCACACAGAGACCACAGCAGAACTCACACAGGACTTGGCCAGCAGCCATATCACCCTGCAACTCACAACTGGCAACCCACTAAAGCTCAACAGGTGTGAGCCTGGTCAGTACCTGGATGGGAGACCACCGGGGAAAAACTAAGGCTGCTGCTGGAAGAGGTTTTAGTGGGGCCAGTAGGGGGTGCTCACCCTGTGGTCCATGTGGGACCTAGTGCCCCAGTGTAGTGACGGGGACACTATACTGTAAACAAGCGCCGTCCTTCGGATGAGATGTAAAACCGAGGTCCTGACTCTCTGTGGTCATTAAAAATCCCAGGGCGTCTCTCGAAAAGAATTGGGGTGTTACCCTGGTGTACTGGCCAAATTTCCCATTGGCCCTTACCAATCATGGCCTCCTAATAATCCCCATCTCTGTACTGGCTTCATCACTCTGCTCCCCTCCCCACTGAGAGCTGGTGTGTGGGGAGCGTTCTGGCGCACTATGGCTGCCATCGCATCGTCCAGGTGGGGCTGCACACTGGTGGTGCTGGAGGGGATCCCCATTACCTGTAAAATTATTTGAGTGGAGTGTCCAGAAATGCGCTATATAAGTGTAAGTAATTATTATTAACTACAGTCCACACCAGGCCCACTGACGGGAGTTCCCCTTTGACCTCCCTGTCTTTGCAAACTGGAAGAGAGCAGGAGAGCCCAGAGCAAACCCTGCTGTACACGAGAAGACATGCAAACTCGAACCCAGGACGCAAGCTCCCTTGGAGTAGCAGTGCTACTGTCAAGAAAAGACGTCGAAATGTGATCTGTGATTGAAATCTTCCAGATGGTCACAACTACCTTTGAAGAGTGGTGTTTGGAAGAGCAGGTCTGGCACAGACACCGGCCAGGCCGGGAGAAATCTGAGCAGCTGTTTGAAACACGTCCCCTGCGGTGCTGTGACAGGGAACTGGGCAGGTCCCTGTGGGTGCCAGTGTGCAGGCAGGGAGGGGCGTGGATGTCCAACTCCAGCCCTGCGGAGCTGCAGGTGCAGAACGACTGTCCTTCAGGGCCTTCCGGCACACAGCACAGTGTCCCGCCAGCGCAGGGTCACAGAGGAGTGGAGCCAGTCCCAGCAAGCAGCAGGTGCAAGGCGGGGCGCCCAGTGCAGACGACAGACCCGCGAGAGGAATTATTTCTTCCCCGGACACCAGCCCTAAGCTCCAGCCCGCACTGTAAAAGACAGTGAGCCAAAACACCCCGGGTCCAGTGTCCACACAAGTGTTTATTAGCAAGAAGGTTCACATGCCCACACAGTCAGCCGCAGACGCGGTCACACACCCAGAGCTCCGCGTCCTGCTGAGCAGGATCGATCTCCACGTCCGGCTGGTCAGTCTGCCCAGCCCCACCCGGCCCGGCCCTCCCTCAGGAGATGAAGTGGGTCTGGGGTGTGATGTTGTCCACTCTGTGGTCAGCAGGGTTGGCCGAAGCCTCGTAGGTGCAGATGGTCACCTCATGCCTGTGAGCCTGCGGGGGAAGACACTGGTGAGCACATGACTCCGCCCGGCTGCTACCCCCCCCACCACCCCTGGCCCACCGCGGACCTCCGAGAACTCGCCGCGCAGCCCGATGTAGTACACGCGGGAGGAGTCGGCCCCGAAGTTCCTGGAGATGTGGATGGAGAGGTGCTGGACGTTGGAGAACCGAGCGATCCTGCAGAGAGAGGGGAACAGCACAGGGTGTTCTCAGGTGATTGCGGAGTGAGCCCCTGGCAGCTCCTGAACTGTGAACGGGGACAGAAGCTGGCTGCCAGACGCCTGAATTCGGCCTGCAGTGATTAAAGTGCAAAAAGAGACCAGGACTGCATAGTGCAGAGGGCAGGACATCGTCAGTACCAGCGGCCTCTGTGTCTGGGGCGTGAGACGCGTGTGAGAGGGGTGTGCTAGGTGTGAAAGAGGGGTGTCAGAGGAGCGCTAGGTGTGAAAGAGGGGTGTAAGAGAGGCACGCTGGGTGTATAAGAGAGGTGTCAGAGGGGCACTAGGTGTGAAAGAGGGGTGTATTAGGCGCGCTAGCGATACAGAAGACGGGGCATGTACTTGGTGGGGTACTCCAGGTCTCCCTTAGTGTCGCGGTTCAGCCGGAAGGCCTGGTCTGGCTCACGGCCT